TGAATTGGAAACTATTTTAAAAATCTTTTACAACATGGTATAATCAAAATTTCAAGAAATTATTCAAATATTATAGAATTACAATGACTGAAAATATTTCAAAAGTATTTTTGGGCCATTAAAACTCTTGTGTCAACACTCCCCAATAAAATGATCTGTCTGAAATAAAAAATAAATATTTTTTTGAAATCTACTCGAGCATTGTTGTTTATCAGTCATATGCCAATTTATCTTTGAGGTGAAGTCGTTTTTACTGCTACTTTCCTCATAAATAGAACACCTCATATTGTTTTAAATTTTAAACACCATTTCATAAGATTTTTCCAATAATTCAACTCATTTTCTTTATATTTAAAGATATTTGAGTGTACTACATTTTTTCATATTTATAGTCATAATTAAGAAAAACTTAAACCACGAGCATAAAAAATGTATTTTTTTTTATGCTCATACTCAAAAGGTATATAAATATTTCTAAAAAAATTTTTGTTATCATGAATGCCACTTTTTTTAATTACAACCCGATTTTCTTATTATCTTAAAAGGGGGGGATAAATTTGACTACTATTTTTCTGGACTTCATTCAAATCTACTATTTACAAAATAATACCTCCACAATCTTGATTGCTTAATCTAAAAATTAAAGCTATATTACATTAGGAGACAGTGTGTCAAATCTTTTAGATATTGAAGAGAATCATGGTCTTTTTATAGTATCATCTTATGATGTTCATGATCCTATAATAACTAATAAATAAATAGGAAAAAGAACTCGACGGTGGTTAATCTAAAAATTAAAGCTATATTACATTAGGAGAGTGTGTCAAATCTTTTAGATATTGAAGATAATCATGGTCTTTTTATAGTATCATCTCATGATGTTCATGATCCTATAACAACTAATAAAGAAATAGGAAAAAGAACTCGACGGTGATATCATTTGACATTATCTACTCGCGCTAGATGCAACCCCATAGAGGGGTTTGTGAATCCTTTATATTATCTAGAATCCGCGAGCCCTTAAGGTTGTCCTCACAGAGTCTTTACCCCATGTTCAGTTCACTTAATCTTCGAATATTGAATCTTCTAGTCTTGAACCTTAGTCTAGTTCTAATGCTAAGTCTAATGATTCTATTTCTTCTCATTGCTGCATCTAAGGGGTTGAGGTCTTACGCCTAATGTCCGTTGCCCCATTATGTGTCATATGAATTTTTTTTTTACTTATTTTTTTGTGTTTCATTTCACAGTTATCTTGTATGAAGATTCATAAGACTGTGAAAAACGCTCTGAAAGTTTCTATGTGGAATGAAGTTGCTTCGAGGAGATGAAAGCTTTTGGAAAAAAAGACACGAAATTGGTTAATTTACCTAGGAGAAGACAACTGTAAGGTGCAAATGGGTGTTTACAATCAAGTATAATTTTGATGACTCAACAGAACGGTACAAGACTCTACTGGTTTCCAAGACATTCATTCAAACTTATGACATTGATTACGTAGAAACATTCACCTCAGTCGCAAAATAAAATTCTATAAGGGTTATTACGAATAATCTTTATTGGCCCTAACAATAGTTGGATATACAAAATACATTCACTACTGAGGAACTAGGAATAAATGCACCTCTAGGATTTAGTGAGAAGTTTGACACAAAAGTTTTAAAATAAAAAAGTCCTTATACAGGTTGAAACAATTATCGAGAGCGTGATTTGAGAAATTTACTTTGTTTTTTAATGGTCAGATGTATACTCAAAGACAAGTAAATCATACAGTAAACTTTAGACATTGAAAGGATGGGAAGATAATTGTACTGATTGTGTATGCTCACGATATAATTCTCATCGTAGACGACATATATTAAATGAACCATTTGTAGACTTATCTTTCATCAGTTTCTAAGACCAAGGATTTAGAGTTCCTGAGGTATTTTCTTGACTTGGAGGTTTCTTGATCGAAGAAAGGGATTGTTATTTCTCAACCAAACTATGTTTTTGATTTTTTTACGGAAACTAGGTTGTGTGGGTGTAGACCTACAACACTCAAATTGATTCCAATAAAAAATTAGGAGATGGGAATGAATGTGATCCAGTGAATACAGTTAGGTATTAAAAATTGGTGGGAAAGTTGATGTACTTATCATATACACGACCAAATATTGCATTAGTTGTGAGTTTGTTAAGCCGACTTATGGATTTGCCCTATGAGAAACACCTTGAAGCACCTAATAGGATTCTCCTATAACTAAAAGGTACACCAAACAAGGGTTTACTCTTTTCGAAGACCACACAAAAAAACACGGGCATACACTAATTCAGATTGGGCGAGCTCAATTACTGGCCGGAGATCAACATATAGATACTAATATTTGGGGAAATCTAGTTATATGACAGAGTAAAACAAAATGTGCTTGTGAGGAGCAGTGTCAAGAAAAAAATATAAAGCTATTGCTAATGGAATATATGAAATATTATGGTTGAAAAGAGTTCCTGAAGGGTTACAAATCTTGATAAGCATATCAATGATGTTATATTGTGATAATGAAACTGTCATAAGCATTGTAGAAAATCCAGTGCAACATGCCGCACAAAATATGTGGAGATTGACAGACTCTTCATAAAAAAGGTTAATTGTGGAGCTATTTGCATCTATTATCCCTAACTACACAACAAATAGCAGATTTCTTCACCAAAGGACTTTTTAGGCCTAATTTTAAGCTCTTATAAGTAAGTTGTGCATGATAAATATCTATTCTCCAACTTAAGTAGTGGTGTCAGATTTTTAGGATTTTCTATTTTTAGTATCTTTTATTTTTGTTTTTTTTTAATTTTATTTTGTTGGTAATTTATTATATTTGTTTTCCTTCTTTCTAGCACAGGGATTTTCTGACTTTCTTAATTTGGTGGTCTTTCCCTGCTATTTATCTTGTAACCACTTCTATGAAATTGAAGAGAAATAATCATTTATTCCTACTCCATAAAAATTACAAGTAAATACAATCTTCGAAGTTCTAACTTATGGATTTCTTAATCTAGCACATGGATTTTCTGACTTTCTTAATTTGGTGGTCTTTCCCTGCTATTTATCTTGTAACCACTTCTATGAAATTGAAGAGAAATAATCATTTATTCCTACTCCATAAAAATTACAAGTAAATACAATCTTCGAAGTTCTAACTTATGGATTTCTTAATCTAGCACATGGATTTTCTGACTTTCTTAATTTGGTGGTCTTTCCCTGCTATTTATCTTGTAACCACTTCTATGAAATTGAAGAGAAATAATCATTTATTCCTACTCCATAAAAATTACAAGTAAATACAATCTTCGAAGTTCTAACTTATGGATGTCTTATTCTACAATGATAAAGCTATATGTTGTCTTTATTGGATTTAGAATGCTTAAAAAGAAAATATTTAGGTAATTTACTTTTATTATCGCTTGATTGATTTTTTTTCTCTAGATAATGAAGTCCATTCTATCCTTTAGCACATTGTATCATCTTTTCTTGAATTTTGATCCTCAAATAAAAGTTTTCATTTCAATATAATTCTTATATAGGTTTTTTTATTGAAATATGGCTAGTTAACATATTTGGAGCAAGTAGTATCCTTTTAGCACAAGTGAGGGATCAGACTGAACATATCTTTAGACAAACTACATTTGTTAAAGAGCCATTTTTTGTGACAATTTTTCTACTTCTTTTGTGTTAATGACTATGTGCTCAATTTCGGTGTGGAGTGAGTCATATAATCAATAGCTTCTAAATATATGATCCAAGTGTTATGAAGGTTTATTAGAGAGATTTAATCCAATGAAGACATGAAACTCACCCAAATGTGTCAATGATATGGTACTTGAAGGTTTTCAAGATTCTTTAATAGAATTCTCAACTGATCAATCCCGTCATGTGTAGACTCCAATGTTTCTCCGAGTCTTATTCTTTATTTTCTTTTCTTTCCTTTTAAGTAGGTTGTGGTTGCTGATGTAAGGTTGTGACTGGAATCAAGGAATGTCAGGTACTAGAGGTAATCATAGTAATGAATTTTGTGGCTACTGGAACCTCAAATTAGTGGAAGCTATGGCAGCAGAAATGGAAGAGAAAAGAAACCAACAGCGATGAAGGCTTCGGCTTGAGACAACACTTGCAAAAGTTCTGGCTGAAATGGAGTTGTGTTTGCTGAAGAGATCAAAATTATGACAGAATTTGTAAGGCAAGCCCTGGAAAATGCTAGCAAGGCAAGACTGACAGGACAAGAGGCCGATGATGATGAGATAGTGATCTCGCTCACTCTCTTACAACTGATTATAATAAGCCATGTAAGACTAAATGGTGGTGCGAGGGAAGACTAGTTGAAGTTCTGCGATGGTTGCATCAAGCATGGAGAAGGAACCACAACCGTCAATGTCGGTAGGTGGATAAGAAACAATCAATTTTATACAGAAGATCAATGGCAATTGACATCTTAGATGTCATCATTGCGGAAGGGGATCAACAACAGATGTCAATGTCTATGGTTATTTTACTTTAAAATGATTGCACCCTGACACTGTACTTTTGCCAATTTGCTTCTTTAGTTATTTTCTTGATTTATAGAATTAAAATAGAGTAAAACATTCCATCCCATTTCAATGTTGACTAAAGACTTGAGGGATTATCTGGGATGAAAGATGCAATATAGTAGGTGCAATGCATGCTTCTCTGTTTATTTTGCTGGTGAGTTTGCACCTAATAATTTCAATATGAGACTCAAAATGTACTTTTAGGGTGCATTGGTGCTATTAAGTTGTGTTCTACAGTCAATTCTTACTATAACATTCAATTTCTTGATTACTTTCAGTTTTTTTTCAGCGAAGGTTTGATTTAATTAATTTATTGTATATATATATCCTATAAAATTTCTCTTTTAACCTTGGAGCATCTCTCCATATGGGCAGATGCTAATTCGCTTTTCTACTTTATACCATTAGGATTGTTTTCATGTGATGTTGCTCGTTTTCCACAGGTTGAAACTACTGCACAGTTTGGTGTGATTTTTCTTCTCTTTGCTTTGGGCCTTGAGTTTTCCTTAGATAAGGTATTTTATATCCAAATGAAGAAAGAAATATTATAGTTTCTCTTTTGTTCTGTTTGCATTTAGATTACATCTGAAGCATTGTCCCTGCCATTTGGAATTACTTTCAGTTAAAAGTTGTTGGGCCTGTTGCTGTTTTGGGAGGGCTACTTCAAATTCTTATTCTAATGTCTTTCTGTGGGCTTACAGCTGCAGTATGGCAATAATTCCTCTTTGCTTTGCTTTGCTTTGTAATTCTAACTGAATTTATTACAGTTTGATTTGTTGATTTATTTGCACTGAATTATACTTCGCCCATATGAGTGAATGCAGTTGTGCGGCGCAAAGTTATCTGAGGGTGTGTTTGTTGGTTCCTTTTTGTCAATGTCATCCACAGCAGTGGTAAGGAAACTCGGGCATGATTCCTTCCACACCATCATGTACAACAACTAAGTTAACCCCCTTGCATTCAGGTTTCAAAATTTTTGGTTGAAAAAGGCAGTGCAAATTCTCTTCATTGCCAAGTGACAATTGGAACTCTCATACTTCAGGTTTATTTCTCAGACATGTGGCTTAATTACAGTATTCCAATATAATTATTTTATTAAACTAAGTTCACGCCTTTACTAATCCACAACAAAGGAAATTTTCGTAAGTTAAAATCATATCTGTTATTTCAAATCTCTCTTGTATCGCACGTTTGTTTTACTTGGCTGAAATGCAACTAAAATATTCAAGCAAACTGTAAATGAGTTAAACTGTTATTAATACCATGAATACTTTCATTGAGAGGGCTATTTATTCATCTTAATAAGCCATTGTAGTAAAAAACGAGGATCTTCGATCAAGCTTAAAGGGGATGACTTTATGTCACTCCTGTTTGATTAATGACGTGAGATCCATTAAGCGAACTACAAAATATAAGGAGCCTAAAAGTGTGTTAAATTATAGTTTGGCATAGAAGAAGTGAAGAGGTAGGAAACTTTTTGAAGATAAATATGCAGAGTTGAGGATCAATGAATTACATTTGAAGGAAACGATTACCTAAACTGCTGAATCTGGTGGGATACATATTGAGATTACTTTACAATTGTGGGTTTTTGAAATTAAGTTTGATAAAGATTTTTTATTTTATTTTCATATTTGTAGGATGAATATTAATTAGTTCGACAGGCCATATTATTAGGGCTCTTTTATTTCATAACGGGTAATTGAATGAAATAATATTTTGTATCTGTTTAGTTTTCTTCTTTGGAGGGATTTCCAGAACCTTCTATTACCACGGTGTGAGATTTCCTTAGTTCTTAGAAGTTGCCTAGTGTGGCATATTGCCGCAATACATTTAAGTTCGAGAACTCTAGAATTGGCCATATTTTATGTGAAAAAAAAAGGTTTGTGGAGAGATATTTGCCTCGATATAATATAATTATTGCTCACTTCTAGCATGAGGGTGAGAGCAAAAAGGGGTCCTACTAGGTGGGCAGAAATTATTGGGCATAGCATGTTGTAGTTGGTTAGGCTTTATTTTTTATGTATTTCAATTAATGCTCTTTTTGGTTTCAAACCTTTGGAAAATCACTGGAGTCGAACTAAGCAGAAGTTTTTTCCTTGGCTTATGTCCAAGAACTTGGAGCTTTCCTATCTTCTACTTAAACTACTAACCTGCTTATCATAATTTTATTGACTTTAAGGAGACTATAGGCCATTGTTCTGAAAGTATGATATAGCTTACGGATTTTCAATTATTTTTGAAAAAAACATTTGTTTGAGCTTGGTAATAGTTTTCCCATCTATATTTGTGTCCTGATTTTGATTGTTTCTCAGGATTGTGCTGTGGGATTACTCTTTGCTTTGCTTGCTGTTTTGGGCGGTAATAGTGGCCTTCTCGAAGGAATTATCTCAATGGCAAAACTGTAAGAGACTGTCAATATGCAATTTTGTATGTTGTATTGCATGATTAGCTGCCTTTCTATCGATACTTGTGATAATATTTGTGATATTGTTCTGCGGTGTTCTGTATTTTACTGTGAAGTATTAAAAAATATCGTATAATTCCATTGCAATTTTCTGTTTTAGTATGTTTATTCTGAATTATGTGCAGGGTACTCATGTTGTCAATCTTTATAGCCATTGGATATGTTTTTTCATTGTCCTTGCTACCTCGCTTTTTGAAGCTTATGGTTCAATTATCATCACAGGTATGTAATTGCTCTTTGAACATGTATATATGACAAATTTTCAATTGTATAGATCCAATTTAATACAAAGTACCACATTTCTCTGATTGTTCGTTTGTATAGTCGAGGTATTAAACTGGAGAAAAGTGATATTTTGGGATTTTTTTGACCTTTTCTCATTGTAAAAAAATGTATCTTGATTATGGAAGACACTGATTTTTTTTTTCTTTTGGCATTCACGTTCATTTGTATTTAATATCTCTACTTGTACATTTGAAATTTTAGAATTTAGAAGTTTTTAGGATATTTTTATCCATTGTACTAAGCCATATGGTGCTTTCTATATTGATGCCGGAGCAGGGCAGGTCATCCTCGTATAGTGTTCCACATGTTAGCAAACTTGTTGCTTATCCCTACCTCTTCCTACCCTACTTAACTTTCATCTTCTAATTTAAATCTTTCACAAAACTTGTATGATATTTTTCCCCTAGTCTACTTTCTTTTTTCCCCCTAAATTTTCTTCAAACCAATATGGATTTATCTATTTGTTAGCCAATGTGTAATGAAGTTGTACTTGATTTCTGTAAGCGTTGTAGATCTGTGGATCTTGGAAATTCCACCCCATTTCCAGAGTAAAGATCAAAATTGTGGTTGCAGCATTGATACTCCAAAATGTTATGATGTCTTGGTTTTAGCCAATTGAAATGCTTACGGTGCTACAGATAATTGTTTTTGGTTTTTCTTCTGCTTTCCAGTCATCAAATTAACGTTTAGGGTTTATGATTCAAATATAGCATATGATGTAGGAAACAGTATAACAAACATGCATAATTTGTATGATAAATTCTACTAATTAAAATAATTAATGTATAAACTACATTTAATGAAAATAGGAAAAATTGAATCCAATTCAGTTGAAAGATTTATGAATTTCTACTTGAAATTATGACCAGAAAATTAAGGGTCGCTGAGCCATGCACATTGTTAAAGTTTCAAGTGAAAGAATTCCAAATTATAGCTAATTTGACTAAACGCCTTCTTATTTGAAAACTAACAATAAAAAAAATTTGACGAAGTAAAGGGGAAGACAAGAGAAAGAAAAGAGTGTCGTTTGGGATCTTTAACACCTACAAAATAAAAGTTCTAGAAAAATCTTGCATTAACTCAAGTTTTAATGAGTTTGATGTACCATTGTTTTATGAAGCTATTTTCTTGCACCCCTTTCATGCGAATCCACAAACAATAGGTAATTCTATGTAATTTATACTCTTGCAGCTATCTTTAATAATAAAATTGTGTCTTTTTTATGATGGATTCTAGTGGTTTCTCCTGCATTAGCGTTAACTGATTTCTTTGTGATCATTTTATAATTTTATGAAGCACAAAATTTACGTTAATTTTACTTGATGAATATTAGAAGATCAAATTGTTAGAATTTCATTTTTTAAAAGTCAGAAAGATTGATTGGGGATTGTAGCAGGAGTGGTGATGCAGGTGCATCTTCTGAACGGAACGCGGAAACCTCAGGTTGTTGAACCGGCTCAAGCTTTGGCGTGAATCTGTTCATTCTAAGGGAGGGGCTGCACGGTTTTTCATTGATGTGGAATTGTTGCCTAATTGATAGAACCCCACCCTTAGCTACCCTATTAGTATTTATATGTTATTTTCCATAAGGACAGTCGTCAACGTCTAGTTTTTCCTTTTTATGGCTGTAACTCATCATGAGGTGGTGTTTATCTATCATTCCTTGCTTCATACAACTCCTCCTTTGCTGCTGCCGCGGTCGTGATTGTTGTCACCGCCCGGAAGTAACCTCGTTGTTGTTTCCTGCCGCCCGCCATCACTCCTCGACGCCTTCAACTTGTTGTCAGTTTTTTCGGTCCCATGTCTACTTGCTATCGCCCTCTTCCAGCCACCTCCAACCCGCTATAACCCTCTTTTAGTCGCCTCCACCTCGCTGCAACCCGCTATAACCCTCTTTTAGTCGCCTCCACCTTGCTGCCAGCCCTTCCAGCCCTACTGCCAACCACGTCCAACCTGTTGCCGCCCTCTTCTAGCCACCTCCAACTTGCTGCAAACCCTTTTGCTTTATTTCTATTTCTCCTTGAACCGCAGCACCACCGTCTTCGACCTCAGCCCTAGTTGAGTTTGTGTTCAGTCTTTGTTATGTTCTAGTTCCACGTGTCTCTTTTTATAACCCCTATTTTCTTGTTAGTAATAATATTTGTTTTCTCTATTATGGTTTGGGTTTAACTTTGGTACATTTGGTATTAGAGTTAGGTTAACTCTAGTCTACCCTAGGGTTCTAGCATCCCCTATATCACTCCCTCCACCCTGCACACCTCTTTCAACCTAACCACAGCCAAAACCCTAATCACACCACCAAGGAGACTATTGTAATCTGAGCAGGAATCTACCATAGACGACATTCAATGACTAGCCAAGTGGTACAACGACTCGATTCCATTGAGGAAACATCTCAGGGCGAGATCAATGTTGATTTTTATAGTGAAATTTGTGCAGGAGCGCAAGAAAAGACCTAAATCCCTTTCATAAGAATGATTCCAGTGGAGAAATATATGGGCCACAACCCTTTGGGGTAAAATACCAACGGAGGCATAGAGCTGAAGTGCCTATTGGAAGATATAAACAAATGAGGTGTCTATTTGAGGATATATATATGAGATGTCTGCTAGGAATGTAGAAATGAGATGCTTGTTAAGGATGCAGAGATGGAGTGCCCACTAGAAGGTACAAAAATGACGTGTTTGTTGGAGGTGCATAAATCTAGAATGAAGGTGGATCTACCAGACTTTGAGTGGAGAGTGGATCTAGATGATTTCCTCGAGTTGATGCGAACCGTTGAGCGGATCTTTGAATATAAATAAGAGGTGTCCGATAGCAGAAGAGTGAAGCTCGTTGCCATCAAGTTGAAGAAAAATATTTTATTGTGGTGGGGGAACCTAAAGAGGTCGAGACAAAGAGAGGTGACAAAATCACTTCTTAGGAAAAGATTAAATCAATGCAGCGACGATACCTACCCCGCACTACCGCCAAGATATTTTTTTGAAGCTCCATTACTTACAGTGGGAGCTCTCAATGGAGCACACGTCAGAATTTATGCAACTTAAGTTGAAGTGGGAACCGAAGGATACAGAGGAGCACACCATAGTCAATTACTTGGGAGGCCTAAAGTTTGCTATTAGTAATGTGGTCCAACAACAACTCTATTGGATACTGAGTGATGTGCATACCTTAGAACTAAAATGGAGAGACTACAAAAGCAAAGTAGGCAATCATCGCCAGTTAGACAACCAACCAAAGTTGGAGACCTCAGGAGGAGCATGCCTCAGAGAGTGTAGTAGACTATCAGGAGCTTGACAGAGCCATTTATAGTGAGAATAAGCATGAGAAAAGCAACATGCCCACTACAATCCAACCAAGAAATGCTTCAAAGACCATGGATTTGGGCACATCGCTTCCAGTAGCCCTTAGAGTTGTGTTCTTCACAGAGCAAGGTGCAGTGGAGTAAAGAGCAAAGAGGAGACAGTTGAAGAAAATGGTGATGAGTACCATCTTCCACCGGATGAGGGCTAAATGTTTGTGGTTTGACGGGTTTTTCAGATCGAGGTTACGAGTGAACAATGATGGCTTCATCACAATATATTCTATACCAGATGCACTGTGAAAGGCAAGATATGCAGTCTCATCATCGTTGGAAGGAGCAACAAGGTATACTCATATGGTGGACAAGTTGAGCCTCATGACTCAAAGACAGTCCCAACCATACTCCTTGATGTGGTTGAGGAAGAAGAACAGAGTCAGCATTGACAGAGAGTGCCTCGTGAAATTTTCGATTGGGAGTCAGTTGTAAGATCAGGTTTGGTGCGACGTGGTGCCCATGGATGTCTGTCAACAGTTGTTTGGTAGACCATGGTAGTTTGATCACCATACTCAACATGACGGGTGCAAGAATACTCCTTCACTAAAGATGGTAAGTGCATAATCTTTCTACCTTCTGCAGAGTCCGAGTATACGTGTGCCCTTGCTAACAGAGAAGCACCAGTCGGATCAGTTTTGGTGTTGATAGAGGCCAGTGAGATAGAAGAATCAGTTTTAGACACATGGCCACCAGTACATAGGGTGTTTCAAGACATCTTGTTTGATAGCTCACCGCCATACCCTCCACCCTTCGGGGAGATTCCTCTCACTTCAGTTTGGGTTGAACCAAACTTGGGTTACTTTCAGAGGATTTGACAGAATATCTTTGACACAAAATATTTGTACAGCTCAGCAGTGTACCCCAGATGGTTGGGCTGATATGGGTGTTTGCTCATAATTAGGGAAAACTCCGGTGTTTTGGGAGCTAGTGCAACCATTAGTGGGATCTAGGTGTTCATATCGACTTGGTTGAAGTTCTTTCAGCTCTAAAGGGTTATAGCAGCTCCGCGACCTTCGACGTGCTTGATAGGATTCCATACAATGAGGAGACATAAGCTTCGACAAATGAAGTCGAAACTCTCCTAACTCCGGGAGATTGATGTGGGTGCTTCTTCCCCACGGGATATGGAAAGCGACAACCTTAGGCCGAACCGATTCATCCTAAGGGAGGAGGAGACCGCACGATCCTTCCATGACGGGGAATTGCTACCTAAGTAAGAGGGCCCTACCCTTAGCTACCTTAGTAATATTTATATGTTGTTTTATGTGTTTTAGGGTAGTTTTTGTTTTAGTTTTCCGTGATGACAGACATTGATATCTAGTTTTTCCCTTCTAGGGTTGTATTCGAAGGCAAGGAGGTGCTCCGACAGTAACTCATCCTAAGGTGTTGTTTATTTATTGTTCACTGCTTTCCACCGCTCCTCTACTGTCGTCTGTCGTGGTTACTGCGATGCAGCCACCCGGAAAACAACTTCTTTTTCTATTTCTTGTATCCAATCATCACTCGTTGCCACCTCCAGCTTGCTGCCAACCCCAACCACCTTTAGCTTGTTGTCGTCCTACTCATCCTAAGGTGTTGT